TTTATTAGTAATAGTCTCTAACACTCTTAAAGTTTGTAAACATTCTTTATTGTGTTTAATTAAGTTCCTTCTATGTCTATTTTTTAGAGAGTTATTAGAAATTTCCAACAATCCTATTTGATATGACAATTTTTTTTTTATTGCTGGCAAAGCTATTCTTTTTCATTATGTGAGCATCAGAGATGAAGGAAGTCCTAGAGTTGGTGATTATAGATGGTTTATATAAAGCCAGAAAATGGCCTTGGAGAACAATTTAAACTTGGGGTCTAGCAGCCTGGATTTTGGTATTAATTTCTTAGAAAATCCCTACACTTTTCCTTATCTTGAAAATGAAGGGGCTGAATTAGATAGCATTGGCCTAGTCTGTAATTTTCAGGGGACAATTTTAAATATGTATAAAATTCTAAGTATTTATACCAAAAATTTAAATGTATAATTTTAGTATAATTAAAGAGAGACTAAGTGGCTATCTTCTTTGCAATTTTCTGCTTGTTTTTCATCTTCCATTCAGTGTTTGTCATTTTATTGCATCTGTTTTTTATTTAAGTTGTCTCACATTTTCTTAGATATAGGAAAGTACTCAAACAGGTAAATTCCCTTGAGAGAGATTATTTATGTAATAATTTAATCAGATCATACAAATACTACAACATTTATTCAATGCTCAGATGGCAACATCTAAACAGATACACCATGTATTATAATATTGATCATGCTTCTGAATTATGGATACTAATGTTTCAATATTTCAATCATGATGGCAGTATTATTTATAGATATAAAAAATAAATATATAATAAAGAATATAAAAATAAAACTAATATATAATAAATACATTATTTACAAAATTAATAAGCATAACCTTTCATGTAAACTGAAATTTTTAGCGTACTGTGGGTTTGTGGTAAATAAATTGTCTCCAATGTTAGCCTATCAGAATCTCTGAACACATAATTCTTTGGACTCGCCTTTCAGAAGTTTCTTAGCTCTTTAGCCATGCCAAAATATTTAAATGTTTGGCCTCAGTTATGCTTAACCAGGTCTAAAACAAACCTGCTTTATGCTTCCTTGAAAAAAGTGAAAAATTAATGGACTGTTTCTGCCCCCTGCTGGTAGCCAGATGGGACCAGTAGAGAAATTATCTACCAAGAGTGTCAACATAATTGTTCAAAGCAGGTCCTGTATGTGTGTCATTAAATAATTATGCCGAAGAACAGCAAAAATCTGAACTATCCTGAAAAAAGGCAATGCTTTCTATTCAATATAATTATAAAGACACTGACTTTTAGACCCAACACGCTTCCTCTATGCCTTTGGGGTAAGCAAAGGCTGTTGCTCGTAAACCTATCTAATCTGAAAAGGGCAACGAGTAATCATTTCTAAGTAAGGAAACCATTTCTAAAGGATAGAAAAAAATACAGAGATCCAGACATGTGGGTCAGTTTGAATTAAAAGGGATAAGAGAAGGGTCTTCTGAAAATCTGTTTAATTTGATCAGAGATGTGCTTTCTAAATCAACATTCTAGGATTCCAAACAAAATACACAGAGAGAATAGCACAATTCTATTACTGTCTCCAAGACTCAAATTCACAGATGCTTATCTTGTTTAATTATTCATGTCATGCCAGATATTGTTCTGGTTGCTAGAAATTCAAAAAATTATTACGGACATTGACTTTCAGGTGGCATAACAGCATGATGCTTGGGGAAATGGTGGGCTTTTTCCCCCTCTTTGCTAGTACAGGTGGAGCATGTGGTGCAGCTGACATATCTGAACATTTTCATTTTGAAATCTTCACTTCATAGCCTGGTCTCATTCAACACTATAATTTCCTGACTCGCATCTTATCTCTCAAACCAGAACTTAAAAAATTTTTCCAACATTTTTTGATCTTCTATTGCCAAAAGGTTGATAGTCTCTCTGGAGGCATCATTAACCCTTGTGGCTAGTATGAAGAAAACTGAATGACAGCATGTGTTTTTAATATATGCTTATATCCTTTGATTCTTTTGTCATCAATCCCAAGGCTTTGCCTAGAAGTCTGGGTCAGGCTGAGAATGATAGGAATAATATTTAAATTCTGAGTGTTGTGCCTGAGGCCAGCAAGGATTTCTACGGCAATGTTTGTTTTATACATCATGCAAACCTTGTATTCAATGACATCAGATTGGTAGTGCGTGGGCAGCAAGGATCAGATGTGTGCTGTAAGATATGAGCATTTAAATCTCACAGCATTTTTACAATGTATTTGCATTTATCTTGTTTTCGTACTTCTGTAATTGTGCAAATTTTAACTTATAGACCAATTCGTAATTCAACAATTACTTAATAAATACCTGCTCTATGCAAACCTCATTTTTTATGTCAATGAGCAAAATCCAGACATAGTTCCTTCTTCTTTTAGAACTTCCAATAGATCTAATGGAAAATCAGAATATAAGTGGTATAAATACATATCAGGATATTCCAATGAGAGTAACTTATTTGAGAGGATGGGAGAAAAAATGGTGCTAGGTTACAAAAATCCCTCTGAAGAAGCAACATTGGACTGAAACCTGAATGATGAAAGGAGATTTTATGCAAATACTTGGAGTGAGTAATTCTAAGCAGAGAGAAGACGAAGGACAAAGATCCTCAGGCAGGGATTCTCTTAATTTATTTTGATGAACAGAAAGATACCTAGTGATTAGGGAGTGAAGGCAACAGTGGTCTACAATGTAGAAAAAAGATAGAGGGGCCAGGTCATTTAAAGATTTCTGACCATGACAAATAATTTATATTTCATTTTAAAAACAATAAGAATCCACAGAATTTTTTAGCAAGAACTTATTGCAATTTAGTAAATGTTTATAGAAAAGCAGTCAGGTTTCTCTGAGGAGAAAACGTTTTTAGGGGGTAAGTAAAAAATAACACTAGCTACTAAATTAATACAATCATCAAGGAGCAGATAATGATGGTATGATCTGGCATCAACAGTTTTAGGTGAAAAGTGAGTGGATTCATGGTATGTTATAGGGAGTAAATAATAGATTTTCATGAAAGATTTAACAGGCAGGAAAGAGAAAAAACATAAGAAATCAAGAATAACTAAGAGTTTTCTTAAGCGATTGTATGATTGGTGGAGTCATTTTATGATATTAGGAGGAAATGGAGAGAGACTAGATTTATGAGTAAAATAATATATTTTATTATCATTTTTAATTTTTAGATTAAATACCCAGATGGAGATATCAAGTGGGCAACTGAAAGCATGAGTCTGTGCTCAGAGGGGAGGCAAGGACTTAGAGGTGCAAATTTTAGGCCACGATATGGAGTAAAAGTTGACACTGTCCTCACTTCTGAGGATTTCAAATTCAGTGTGTAAAAGAGACATTGGTCAAATAACTAGGCTAATGAATGTCAAATTACAAATTGAATACATTTTATGAGGATAAATATGTCACCAATTTAATAATATATAATACTGATTACATATTATAATATATGTAATATTATGACATTACAATAATGTAATAACATTAATAATATCAATATGTGGGGAACTTGTTTTAGTTAATGAGCTTCCTGGTGATTGTTGAGATGCAGAAAAAAAAATTTAAGATTATTTTACAAAGAGAAAGCAAAGGTTGAGAAAATTTTCCACAACCTCAGTCTCATCCTTGTGAAAGAACATCTTAGGCAGAGAGAACATCAAGAGAAAAATCTCATAAAAGACGGGAAATGGTAATTTTGAAAAATAAGAGAAGTGTTCAAAAGCTGAACAATTTTTCTTTAAAGGGCAAAAGAATTCTATTTGATGAAGGAAATGTATTAAAATAGTAAACTAAGCCATCTAGTGCTGACAGGGACAAAAGGTACATTCAAAAGAAGCTCAGCCTGAGGAGCTGCCTGGTGAACTAATAAAATAAAGAACAAGAGTAGGTCACAGAAACAAGCCAGAAACTGAAGCTATTTTAACACATTGAATTAATTAAACAAAGCATGAAAGCCAGCATGGACTTTTAAATGCCTGTCTATATTACAAGAGCTATTAAATCTTTTGTGAAGACTCCCCAGGCCAGAACTTAATTAAGCAGGAAAACTATATGAAGGAGAAGCTAATCAATTCTGCTGCAATGAGGCTTTTAAAGATTCTGAACAACTATTTGTTATTGGCCTTCTAATTTTTAGAATGGTGGATTCTAAGGAAGAGGAAAATAATTACTCAATCCCTTTCATAAATGCATATTAAATGAATACTCAACTGATTAACTGAATGAATGGATAATTGTATAATATACACTGGGCTGATGTCAGAAGTTGTGGGTCTTCAAAGTCTCTGCCACAAAGACACAGATGAGTCTAACATCTCAGAGGGACAACACTCCTGTGGGAAATCATTCATCAAAGGTCTTGTGTATAAATAACCCTCTCTGCCTATCACCAATGAAGAAAAAGTGACCATTGGCTATGTCATCTGAAGTGGGATAAAACAGGAACACTTTTACTAAATGCTACTCAGAGGAAAAATACACTTGGAGACAACACAAAGTAGAAAATGATGGGTATGAAATAACTATATAAAGACATTTGTAATACTAAAGCTCAAAGGTTATTAAATGCTTAATGTACTGGAGGGGTAAAAGAAGAATATTTTGTGAAACTTAGCTCTCAATTTTACAGTTGCAGCATTACATCAGCATCCTTGGAAAATTTCCCGGACACCATATCTTTTCTGAATATTAGCTTCTCCTTTAGTCTACTTGTTTTTATCCAATACATGTGGCTTCTAAGGACAGTCCTGCCAGTGGATGAATAATGGCTCTTAAGTGGCATCAGGAAAAGACCATTTTCTTTCATGCAGCAGATAATATGCCTCAATAGAACAGAGTTGCTTGGTTATATTTTGTAAAGTTAGTTAACTTTTAGTATAATGCTGTTTGCTTCCAAATTCCATCTAACTCATCTGAAATCAGAACATTTCCTTTGAAATATGCTTATACTCTTGTTGGCTGAAAGCTGTGTTTTAGTTCCAGAGTGATTGCTGCAGTAAGCCCTAGCATGAATTCCTCCTCCTTCCTTCTCACTGGATTTCCTGGCCTGGAGAAGCAATATCCCTGGATCTCCATTCCCTTCTCTACCATCTATACCATGGTGCTTCTGGGCAACTGCATGGTGCTGCACGTGATCCGGACTGAGCAGAGCCTGCACCAGCCCATGTTCTATCTCCTGGCTATGCTGGCCCTCACTGACCTGGGCATGGGGCTGTCCACAGTGCACACGGTGCTGGGGAGCCGGTGGGGGCTTATTCAGAAAGTCAGCCTGGATGCCTGCATTGCACAGTCCTATTTCATTCGTAGTCTGTCTTTCATGGAGTTCTCTGTCCTCCTCGCTATGGCTTTTGATAGCTACTTTGCCATTTGCCACCCACTATGCTACTACTCCATCCTAACTAATGATAAAATCATGAAAATTGGGGTGGCAATTTTATGTAAGAGTACATTACTCATACCTCCGGGCATCATTCGCCTAAAGTTCTTAAATTATTGCCGTCCCCACATCCTTTCTCACTCTTTCTGCCTGCACCAGGACCTTCTCCATCTAGCTTGCTCAGACATCTGATTCAATAGCTACTATGCCCTGATGCTGGTCATTTGCACACTGTTGTTGGATGCTGTTCTTATCCTTTTCTCCTATGTCCTGATTCTTAAATCAGTCCTGGCAATTTCTTCTCAGGAGGAGAGACATAAGTCATTTCAGACCTGCATCTCCCACAACTGTGCTGTTCTTGTGTTCTACATCCCTATCATTAGCCTAACAATTGTGCACCGTTTTGGCAAGCACCTCTCCCCCATTGTCCATGTCCTCATGGGCAACATCTACATTCTTTTCCCACCTTTGATGAACCCTATCATCTATAGTGTCAAGACCCAACAGATTTGTAGCAGAATGTTGAGACTTTTTTCCCTGAAAGTATATTGAGATACTCCGTTCTTTTAAAAAATAAAAAGAGACAACACTAATAAGTATGCAAAAATCAATAAAAAATGAACTTTATTAGAATTAGAGTTTTAGTCCTGAGTCCATAATTTTTTATTTTAAAACACACATTAAATATAGTTAGAGAACCAACTACAAATATGTTCCATTTTAATCTATGTCCTAAAAATGAGTTGTTCTTAGAGCTAGAGGTGGGCAACTCCATCTGAAATATTTCATAAACCCTATCACCTATTGATTTGTGCAAAACAAAGCATGTGCAGGTAATTCCATAAGTATAATTATATAGAAGAAAGTATAAAAGTAGTTGAGTGCCCAAAACAGATTTTCAAGTATTTTCTTTGCCGTAAAACAAAGGTAAATTCAAACCCTAGGTCTTTTAGTGTTAAAAGTAGATAAATTGCAGCTTCTTTAATTTGCTGAGATTCAGTTGATTAATCTTGAAAATGAGAAAAACAACAAAATCATGAGAATATTGTGATAACTTAATGGGCCTGAATTGTCCAATGAAATTTTCTAAAGTGATAGGAATTTTCTATTATACAGACTGAATACAGCAATATAGAACAATAGTTACTTATAGTTACTGAGCACTTGAAATGTACATAGTACAACTGGGCAAATGCTTTTAAAATTCTGGTTAACTGTAGTTAACTTACATTTAAATATTAAGAGACCTTTGTATTGGACAGTGAGGTATAGGATATAAAAAGAACATATAATCAAATATGACTTGGGATTCAACTTTTACCGTGTCTACTTTAAATTGAAACCCTTACTGTTCATTATATTTTATATGTGGACTCCACTGTCATTTAGCTGGAAGTGGATTTTGCTCTGAATCTTTTGCTTTTAAATCTAAAAGAGAAATGTCCTGAACAGATGAAACTTTATGCTTATGACTGACACCAAGTTAAAAAAAAAGTCAGTTATGTGTCTATAAGGATAAAGATTTAAAAAAATTGGTTTAATCTTCCTATATCTCTTAGGTACATAAGGTAGAAAGGGTTAACACTCAACAGATTAATGCACTAATCTTACACCAAGAAGGCAAATATCTCTTATCATTTTTAGATATAAATCTAACCTATGTATTTTAAGCTTTCATTTAAAATAATAGGTTTTATGTTTTTTTTCTCCTTTTTGTATTTCATTCAATTAAGTAGTCTCTGTGTATCAACTTTGTCTGCAAAACAGAAACACTGGCTTAATTTCCAATAGCTTAAGCCTCAACATGTGGGGCAGGATAAAATATTTTGACCAAAAAGAAAAAATGTAAGATTATCCACAGGATAATAGATTAGGACTCCTGGGTTAGAATAGGGGGTTAATTAGAAGGAGAAGAGAGCGAATTTCCTGATATCAGTGAGAAGTTAGGCTACTTTCTGCCAAAGCTACCAGAAGTGAAGAGTATAAAGTAGTGTCTAAAGTGAGGATGAAAAATAAGTGTCCTAATTGCTAATTTAATGAGATTTATCATATTGCTACATAGAAAAAATAACTGTAACTAATTAGGTTAATATGAATGTCAGGTATTGTACTGAGTGCCCTAATGATGATTAATATCTGCCTGGTTCATATTGGCAGACTGAAACCAGGCCAGTTTGACAAGGTTTATATGGCCCAGTTTTCGAATGAAAGCATCAATGAGCTGTTGAACCTGCAGAAGCCACGTAGGTGGCTCATAGATAACTTTTGAACACATGTTGCTCAATGGCCAGGCAAGTTCCCTTCAGTGCTTTGATCCCGCAATCACCTACCCTCAGGCCTGTCTCAATCTTGGGGAAGCAAAGTCCTCAGCAATAGCAGGACATATTTTCTACCCACCAGGCATGATGAAAGTACCAACTTGAAAGAATATAGTTATATATCCAACAATCCTGAGTGGTTGGTCTGAGAGTAATGTTTAATATGGTAAGTAGGAGTGTTCATCTGAGAACTTTATACTATGAGTATCTGTACCTCAGATTATGGCAAACTGTAAAACCAATGTAGTTGCAAATAATGGCTGTAAAAATAGGTGTAAAAATATCTGGTGTATTCTCAGAAATCACAGTTTAATTTATAACTATATAATTCTACTATGCTGATGAAATTTATGAAGAACTTCAGAATTTTTGAAATTCATGACCAAAAGGATTCAGGTCAGCCAAAGGAAAGAAGCTGAGTAAAGAAAGCTGATGAAAAGTAAAATTCCTGTGATTCTTGGATTTACACAGAAGGGAAGAGATTTATAAAGTTTTTATTGTCTATTGTTTGTTTTCTAAAGGCTTCTATTTTGAGGAACTAACTTATAAAATAACTACACCTCTTTTTAGGGAGAGAAACCACTTCAGAATCATCAGCTCAGGTCCTGACAGTGAGAACAGATGGATTTATCACAGGTACTAAAAGCGCGAGCTGGCACATTGCAGCCTTTTGAGAAAATTGGTAGGGGCATTCTTCCATAGGTTCCAAAAAGCCAATTTTATGAAATAAGAAACCTGTTATCCATGAATTAAGTACTGGCACTGTTATGAAATTAGTGGCCTGAAGAACCAGGGAGAAATAGTAATCTTGTAGGAGTGGTTCATACTTATGACACCTTAAGGCTTCTGTCCAGTTTGGGTGGGAAACACTACTAAAGTAACACAATAAGTTAAGGGAAATACACAATCTCTTCTTTTTGTTTTTGTTTTAGGTAGACTGTCATGCCATTGTACACTGCTCCTTTATATGAAGTCACCACTGTTAAGGAGAAATCTAAAGGATATTGGTTGGGGTGAGTGACAGAGTAGGGTGCAGGAAATCAGAAAGTTTTGGCTCAGCTGGATTTACTCCCACATCAAAAAGCTAAGGTTCAGAAAGGGAAAGATGGGTGATTTTTGGAAGTGGAGAAATAAGCTTTTAATAAAAATAATCTACTCATAATTCACAAGCAGATGTCTACAGTATACTATATGACTAATTTTTCTAGGTTTATCAAAACTTTATTATTAAACTGACTCAGAAGATTTTCCTACCTGAGGCTGTGTCTTTTTTCCCTAAGATATTTATGACCATTATTTGAAAAAGGGAGAATCTGCTAGAGTAATGAATAAATACCAAAATATACCCATTTTCTAGAATGACTCTATTGGAAATTAAAAAAAAAAAGTCAGCTAAGAACTCATGTGCAATGATAATTGGTATTCTAAAGTTTTTCTACTAAAAGTGGGTTTCCAGTCCTGTATCCTTAGCACCATCAGGTAACTTAAAAAAAGGCAAAAGCTTGAGCTCCGGTTCAGTCCTATTGTATCAAAATCTATATTAGCTTTGGAGATGCTGGTGGTGTTTGTTCTCTTTCTTGTTCAGAATGTTGGTTATAAACTTTGTTGATTCTGTGTCAATTTATCAATTGATATCATTAGTTATGCACATTTTTGTGCTTAATTTAATAATAAAATACAAATTTAAGTAATATTAAGGTTTCAGTGTATATATAAACTTAACAGATTAAAAATGTGTTTTTATTTTTGCTATTTCCTATGATTGTCTAAAATTGTAGTTGCATGCACAGAGACATTGTGGGAGGAAATGATAGTGGTGTTTATTAAAATAAAAAAAATAGAAATTTTATATATTATTCACAAAAGACAAAGCAGGAGAGATAAATAAGGATTCTGGGTGTCTACAGAAGGGAATACAAGTAAGAAGAAAAATGATCTGCCTAGAACAATCCTGGAAAAATGCAAGGGTGGGACTGAGAATGGTAGAAAAGGTGAACATCTCTGTCAGAATTTCTAACTAAAATATATAGAAATCTACTTCTTTTCAATCTGGCAAAAATGTGTATATATATTATTACAATAATTCCTGTAGTAACTGAAACAAATGTGATTCACATATAGGGGCATTTGGTACAAAGGGTGCTAACACAAAGGTGTTATATATAAAAAAAGAAGGATTATGGAAAATTACACACACACACACACATAATGCTGGAGCTCATGGAAAACATTTTCCAGTTATCTCCTACAATACTTACCAACCTGATATTACACAATTAGAGCATTGTTGGATTATTCTCTATAAAATCTGTCTTAAAAGAAGAGACAAATACTGGAACTTAAGTGTTCACTCACTGAATTAGGGAGGTTCCTTCTTAATCAACCTACAAAGTAACTGACCAAATAAAAAATCCCATCACGTTTATAAAAATCTCCACTAAATTCTTGGTCCTTCATCCTGACATATGGATGGACAGTCAGCAATTTCCAGGGATGTGATTAAATCAACCAGTACAAAGATAACATATTGAAAATGAATTTTTAAAAAATTAACCAAATGTAGCAGAGTTTATTTAAAAACAGAAAACAAAACTTAAAAAGAAAATAAGCCCTTAAAAATACTCTTAATAAAGTAGTCATATTGGTTCATTGATACAGGAAGAGAATATTAAATAAGAAGCAAATATATAACACAAAGGTTATTTTAAATTAAAAAACAACATGAGAAATGAAAGAAAACCAATAGGCATCTCAGGACAGATAGATTTAAGAAAATAGAACAAAATAACTAAAGGTTAAATATGGGGATGGGGATTAAAAAATACATGGGCTTAATCCAATAACATAAACAGCTCTCTAATAAAAGTTTTAGAAAGACAGGAAAGATAAAAATATAAGATAAATTTGTTAGAATTAAGAATTTATTAGAAAATTAAATAAGACTTCTCCCAGAATAAAGGACACAGTGCCAGTGGAGGACATCCACCAAATAACAAAAGAATATTTCTATGTATATAAATTCTTATTATAGTAAGAATTTTATAGCAAGTTAAAATTTATATATAAAATTATATCTCTATAAAATATCATGGTATAATTTTATATAGATTTAATTTTATAGTAAGTTAAGATAATGAAAAGACAAGCTATAGACGGGCAAAAAAAATTGCAAAATACTTATCTGATAAAATACTTGAATTCAAAACATACAGAGACCTTTTAAAATACAACAAT